CACCACCACCACCACCACCACCACCGCCTTTCATCATCATGGCGCCAAAGAAAGCGTCAGCGGAAGACGAGCTATATCAGCTCGAGCTCCTCTCCCTCACAGGCAAGATCGCCACCGAGCTGCTCAACCACACCGGCATCAACGACCGCGTCCTCGCAGAGTTCATCCTCTCCCTCCACGACTCGGCCACCTCGGTCGCGGACTTCAAGGCAAAACTCTCCGAGGTCGGCGCAGACTTTCCGGACGCATTCGTCGCCAACCTCGACCGCCTCATCCTCCGCCTCCACCCCAAGCACAAGAAAGCCGCCGCCAAGCCATCGACCGACGCCCAAGCGGGCTCTTCGTCGCCCAGCACAAAGGGCAAGCAAAAGGCAACACACGATGACGAGGAGAGACAGCGCAGGGCCCGCATGTTCCCCGGCCTCGCCATCAAGGACCAAGATTGGCAGCCATCCCAGGAGAAAGAGAAAGGAAAAGGTCACGCAGCTGTAGACGAGTTCATGAAGGAGTTTGAGGACTTGGCCTCCGCAAAGTCCAGCAACACCACAACACGCAGCGCCCCAGAGCCGTCTCGAGGATCTTCAACACGTGCAGAATACGACAGAGCGGAACCGTCATCCCGGCGTGGACGAGATGAGCGTCCCCCACCGCACCTCTCGCGGCCCCCACCAGATGACAGGCCCCAGCTGTACAAGATCTATGACGGCAAGGTCAGCAACATGCGCGACTTTGGCGCCTTCGTCAGCCTAGAAGGCCTGCGCGGCCGCTTCGAAGGCATGGTCCACATTGGCTCCATCGCTGTCGGAACGCGCGTCAACCACCCTTCGGATCTCCTCTCCCGAGGCCAGAAGGTCAAGGTCAAGGTCATGTCGGTCGTGGGAGATCGCATCGGCCTTTCCATCAAGGACGTCGACCAGGCCACCGGCCGCGACCTCACCCCCCACCTCCGCATCAAGAGCGAGGCAGAGATGGCCGAAGAACGTGAACGCGTCGCAGCGCGCTCCGCCAGCGGCGCCAACAGTGCTCCGCTCGGAGGCGCGAGAGGCGCCAACGGCAACGGTGCCGGCAGCGGCATCGCAGTCAAGGAAGACGGCCGTGGTCGCTCCATCAAGCGTCTCACCAGTCCAGAACGCTGGGAGCTGCGTCAGCTCATCGCCAGTGGCGTCGCCAAGGCCAGCGACTATCCCGAGCTCATGGAAGAAGATCTGCGCACGCCCAACACGCAGCCCGGCGCCGACTCGGACGACGAAGAGATCGACATCGAGGTCAACGAAAAGGAGGCACCCTTCCTCAAAGGCCAGACGAGCGCCTCGCTCGAAATGTCGCCCGTCAAGATCGTCAAGGCTCCCGACGGAACGCTCAACCGTGCCGCTGTTGCCGGTGCATCGCTCGCAAAGGAGCGCAGGGAGCTGCGCAAGCAGGAGGCCGAAGAGGAGGCGGATGCCGAGGCCGCCGACATGACGTCCGGGTGGCTCGACCCCATGGCGCAGCAGGGCGACCGCATGTTCGCCCAGGACCGCAGGGGCAACATCCTCGGCCAAAAGGCGCAGGACCAGCCCGCGTGGAAGAAGGAGACGTTCAACAAGGCCACCACCTTTGGACGCATCACCAGCCTCTCGATGCAGGAACAGCGCCAGAGCCTGCCCATCTTTAAGCTGCGCCAGCAGCTCGTGCAGGCGATCCGCGACAACCAGGTGCTCATCGTCGTCGGCGACACGGGCTCGGGCAAGACGACGCAGATGACCCAGTACCTCGCCGAGGAGGGCTTTGCCGACCGCGGCAAGATCGGGTGCACGCAGCCCAGGCGTGTGGCGGCGGTGAGCGTCGCCAAGCGCGTCGCCGAGGAGGTGGGATGCAGGGTGGGCCAGGAGGTGGGCTACACCATCCGATTCGAAGACTGCACCAGCCCCGAGACCAAGATCAAATACATGACCGACGGCATGCTGCAGCGAGAG